AATCAGAACTAAAATATAGTGTGCTTATAAAGAGGGTGTGATTATATAAGGTGTGATTGTAGAGAGGGTTGACTGTAACTACATAATCTGCCTTAAAAATGAATTTGAGTTTAACAATACATAGTCTCACAAATCGGCTACAAATCAACTAATCGCTAATCAGTAAATCTGTATAAATTTGAATGGTGATATTATCTAATATAAATTGCTAAAGAATTACCAAAATTCGTTAAAAATACTATAAAACTCTGAAATTGCTATAAATCTCTAATTTACTAATAATTATGTTTGGTGATATGGTTAAAATTATTATAGATAGGGTTTATAATAAAATTGTATCTAAACCTATCCATCTCCACCCTGAATATGATATGAAACATGTTTTTAACTATCGACCTCAAACTGATAACTATCAATATGAAAAAGTGGTTGAAATAGAAAAACAATATGATTATTTATCTATTATTAGACCTCATGAAACTTTTTAACAATGGGCTAATCGTATAAGAGGTTCTCTGCAAGAATTACTTTCTAAGCGAGAATATAGTTTATATCATATATACTGTCTCTTTGCTTCTTTTGGGCAAGTAAAATCCACAACATACTATGTTAATAGTGATTTATATGGTACCCCTTTGAATATCATAGACCTAGTGTTCATAAAAGTCAGATGGCTATCTGCTTTAAATGCTGAAAATTGGTAAAGATTATTGAAGTAGAGCCTAGAAAGGAATATTATAATAGCTGGGAAAGATGGGTCTATGAAGTTGAGTCTGAAGATTTGATGAAAAATCATTAGAATTACTCTTGCTTCAAGGCTAAGACCATAACTATAGCAAAAAATACTATACCCAGTGCTTCAAATTTTGAGCTAGCTTGTATTTCACCTACCAGGTAAGAAATGATTTCACTAACTTCTTATCAATTATTGAATTGTAGAAGTGATACAAACAAATTATTTATATTGTCTCTATATGTAAAATAGCCAAAAGGCACTGTGTTAAGATTGGAGGATGGGATAGAAATCACAGTAGTTTAACTAACTGATTCTGACTATTGCTTTCAGCTGAAGATTAATATCATATATTATACTTTATTTTTTTGTGAAATGAATAGCTATATAATCTGCATTCATGATCGTCTAGTATAATTGGCCGAAAACGCTATGCATGAAGAAAAATCTGATTTGCCTATTTCAGGATTGATCCTCCAATATATTGTATAACCATTTTAGTGAACTATCTATGAAGCGGTCTTGGAGATTCTTGATTGCAAAACAATATAACTATTAGTTTAAAAATTTCTATGCAATTTTTATTCAACAAGCTTACAGGAATTACAAGAAAAGACCTGAATCTTTGGCAAAATGAATTTGGGAGGCGGTGAGGAATGATGGTATTTCTGATAGAAAGAAATTCTTTAGTATACTTATGATTTTTCAAATGAAAATAAATCCTGAGATTCAAGAAGAATATGCTTTGCGTCTTAATGAATTGTTGATATGCTTAAAAAAGCAAGTGCTTATCAATACTATATTGAAAATTATAATTTAGCCAAATGGGTCACAACATATGAGGAATATATTAATTATTATCCTAATTTTTGGATAGAAAAAAAGAAATCTCAGTTAAATGATCGACTAGATAAAGAAGCTCACGATCTTGTTAAGGAAATATTAGAACAAAAAGATTACAGACAAGCTTATATTTCTCAATAGGGACTTAAAATTCTTTATCTTTCATGAAGATATATGATAGAATCGTTACAGGATCCTGAAAATTATCTTATTAAAAAAATCAATGGATATTTCGTCAAAATAAAATAATATATATCTCCCCCACTACTAGAGTTGGATTTTTTTGACTCTGACACTTTAAGTTAGCTCAACAAGCAATGTTCAGCTGATCCTTTTCTAACACTACCCGCCACAATGCATATAAGCATGTGCAATATAAATTAGCATATTTTTAATCCTCGTTAAAGTATATACACTCCTTAGCTAAAAGTTTAGGACCACTCTGAAATTTGCAAAATAATCGACATTTAACCCTAGTTAATACATAATTAACTAAAATAAAATTAGAATTTTGTGTAATATGATAATCAATAAATGATAATCGCAATAAAATTAATTTTTTTTTTGCTCTTTCGTTCTTTTTTTACGAAAATGGTTAAAAAAAAGAACTGTCCAATTTCGAATGTGAAAAAGTTATCGCCTTATATGAAGATGGTAACTCAGAAAGAGCCATTTTCACAAAAAACTGGCTATGGCAAGACTACTATACATTATATTATAGCAAAATACAACAAAATAGGTACCACTACTATCGCTTCTCAGAGCGGACGTCTAAAAATATTAAGTGAACGCGATAAATATCATCTTAAAATAATTCTAACACAAAATCGCCGTGATCTACTTGCAAAAATACATCAAAATTTTAATGAATCCACTGGAAATAAAGTAAGTGAAAGGACTATAAGATGAACAATATATGATCTAGGATATCATAGCCATATAGCTCTCAGAAAACCATTAGTTAGTGAACCTAATCGAAAAATCCGCTTACAATGGACTCGTGAAAGACGTTCATGAACAATTGAAGATTGGAAAAAAATTGTATGGAGCGATGAGTCAAGATTTACCTTATTCAGAATGATAGAAAAATTAAAGTTTGGCGCCTACCAAAAGAAAAATATGATATCAATTGCCTCACTTCAACTGTCAAACATGATGGTAAGGGTGTTATGATGTAGGGGTACTTTTCTTGGTATGAGCTAGGCCCTTTAGTGAGAATTGATGGATAGATCAATAGTGAACGGTATATAAATGAGATTCTTAGCTATCATGTAATACCATTTTTAGAAAATTTTAAAGAAAATAATGGGAACTATTTCTTTCAACAAGACAATGCTCCGATACATACCAGTGAAAGAACACAAACCTTTATAGAAGAATAAGAAATAATTCTACTACTATGGCCTGGATAAAGCCCAGACCTTAACCTGATAGAACACCTCTGGGATGAACTTGAACGTCATATCAGATCAAAAGAAACTCTTCCAAAAAATTTAAGAGAATTGGAAAAGTTTCTTCAGGAATGTTGATTACAAATACAAAGTGAAGCTTATAAAAAGCTTGTTTACAGTATGAAAAATTGAATAAAAGCAGTAATAAAATCTCATGGTTATCCAACCAGATATTAAAGAAATATTTTGTTGAATTTTTAATGATAAATTATAAATTTATTTATTAAAATTTTCTTTTTTTTATTAAAAAAAAACTAGTTTTTTTATTAAAAAGTTAATATTTATTTAGTTTCTTAATTTTGCGGAATTTTACCTGATTTTTTTTTTGTTATATTATTTGTAACAAGTAGTTTTAAAAAAAAAAGTTTTGTATAATAAAATCCTAAGAAAAATTT